TATATTTGCATACTGTGCAAGTAGAAACTTGGTTAGCTGCCATAGCTTGACATATAACTTGAAGCACGAATTCGGAAGCACAAATCTAAAATGTGTTTTTGTGCATGTGTATGTAAATGTGTGTTTGCGTTGTGTAATCCTTACAAATGTTAAACACGCATTTATCCATGCAACCTCAATTTGTGGTGTTAAACTAACTAGAGTTGATGGACTATCATATATAATATCAGTATATATTAACATTAATTATAATTTATCAGCCAATATCAATACAGATTTCTTATGTATTCACCCGATTATCCTCAACTCATCCACTGGAGCTTTGGGGTCCGTAAAAACTCATTATTACCCGTGGCTCTATTCGAATTATCCACCGTTATCTGCGACTCTTCCTATGAGTCGTCTAACGAAAAGTATCTAAATTTACCAAAATTCATAGTACGGTTAAGAGGAGTCGTGTGACAAATTCCTCTCAACTATCTGCAGCTGTCCCCTCATTTTCCCCTCTGATAAGTGGAGCTTTTTGCAAATAATAGGATGCACTAAATTGGGCTCCCAAATTGCCGCAGTTAAGAGTTCTCTTGTACAATAACTTGTCTTTAATAAAGCACATTGGGAAACACATGCAGGCTGTACATTTTTGTTCGTAAAAACAAAAGTGCCTGTGGTACTGCACTGTATAAAACATCCGGAATTCTACAAAGAGGACCAAAGGCCTTCAGCATATGGGCAAAACCCCTGCAGTTTAGACGGCTACAGATAACGATCCATTGGCATGTTTTAAAAGTGTGCCAGTGACATTAGACTGTGGTGTCATGGGCAAATGAACAGCCCTTATAAGTCATATGTCACCCGCTACTTAAAGAGGTGCTTCTTAAACTGGTGCAGCAGCAGCAGCGCTCCGTGGAGTATTTATTTACCAGAGGATACACGGCAATAAAACAAAGTGCTGGCAGACGTCAGGGGTGCCTCGCTTGGCTGGATTTTACATCCATCCATGCCTTGCCTGACTCAGGCGTGAGAAACCTTTTTGAACACGTACCGGATTAGTGATATCACGCAATGGCAGTGCTCGTCACACAAATCAATGCCTTTGGGCAGGCAGTATGTCTTAATTGACTAACTTGCTATTAGCACGTGCTTTGTAATGGTTTATTTGTTCACCTTTAGAGGCAGCAATGTGACTTGTGGCCTGGGTGTATTCACAGGCCATGGGTCACTTGTGTGTGCGTGTAAAATGATCTGCAGTATTCACTAAATATTATGTTTAACACGATTTGATTTATAAAGCTGAAATATGCTGTACAGCAGCCAGATTCAATATGTAGCTGGAGGTTTGGAACAAATAGTTTAGGATGCTGCTAGTGGTGGATAGACTTTCTCCAAGCTCTATGCCTTTTTTTGTTTCATTTGCACGTCAAAATTTGAGAGTGGAAAAAATAACTTTGTTTTTAAAAGTTTTATTTTGGTTATTTGAAAAGGTAATAGTTGTTTTTATATGCCAACAATACAAATATAGAAGTTACACCCTGGAGTACAGTAACACATGTTTCAGGTCATGATAAAATGTTCCCAAGTTTGGAAACACTTGTGTGGAATACAGTTGAACATTATAAATGAAATATACCTTTTAAAATGTTGACATGTGATTTATTTGAAAGATAAAAAGAAAATATTGGATGCACATGAAAACGTTTCACAAATTTCGAATTTCATGTTTGTGTTTTGGAATTAAGCCACAGTTTAATGCTGTAATGGTGATGGTTTGCAGTCATGTGCAAAGCATGTACGTACACGTGCAGAGCAAGCTGCAACCCTCCAACAGTGATATACAAGGACTCGTAAGAACAATTGAAATGCCTAATTCTGAAGCCATCTAATATTATATTGCCAAAATAAAAACATAGAAGTTCATTGTTTTATAATAAATTTCCTCTTTTATGGATGTCTTGATGGTAAAACGTAAATGCACTTTGAAAGGTTTAGACTTTCACCGTGGCCATGTGGGTTTGGCGAGCACTTGTGCTCCACTGCAGGTTTAATGGATAAGTCCTGAAGGTCAATGGGGAAAAAGAGCTTGACTGTTAAGTGTTTTGGGACAGCCTTGCACCAACAAAAAAACACTCATGAACTTTATTTTGTGCACTCTATTTTATAGTACCAGGCAGCAAATGAAAATGCATCAACTTATTGTATCGCTTGCAGTGGCAATAAACTCTTGCCGTAAAGCATGCCGCTTTGGTAATGCAGAAATACTTGTGGTGGTCAGGGTCAAGCCTTGCCATATCATAAAATATATAAAAGAAAAGTTGGGTTCCATATGGACGTAAATTAGGTCCCATGCGAAATGATGCTGTTCGTGCGTAAGCGCCACGATGTCGGTAGCCTTGTTTTTTTGTCCAAGTCATCCAAGGGGAGGGCAATTGAGCCCCGCTGAATGGTAACGACGCGTCGTAGAAATCAAGCCACTCGGCATTGGTCGCTGCGTAGATGAGATTAAATACGAGTTGGGGTTCGAAAAGAATGAAAGCCATTTAGCTGTTCGTTCAAGAGTAATGGTACAGACTCTGTGCACACAGGAAGTGTACTACTGAATAATGGTGTAGAAGTAAATAGTATGACAGCTCTGGCAGTTCATGTGTGAATTATTGTTCTTGGCTTATTTGTGCGGGCCGAATGAGAGTGGGACATGGGTTTAATTAAACAATGATATCCTTTTAATTCCTATTTAGGGCTTTTTGCATATACATTCAGCTCATAATATAAAATATCAGCACATTACCTTTTTACAAAAGTACAATATGCTTTGCAATGTAGTTTTTTTTGTATCCCTTTGAATTAAACTTTTCATTACAAATATACCACATACAATATATTGAATCTGTTGTTGTTTTGTAAGATGTAAACATTTAATATTAACTTTATATTCTTCAGTATGTTCAAACAATTGTACGTATATATGCATAAAATAACCGGGCAACACACGCTAGTGTTGTCATGGAAGAACAACAAAAAAAACGCTTTTTGGATGAAGACAATAAGAGCTTTGTGCTCTCTCGTGTTTTTTTATGGACGTGTGTAGGAGGGCATGGTAACAAATACCCTGAGTGTTAAATTCTCTGGCCTGGTGACCCTCTCCAGCACTTCTGTTCTACAAACGCCCATATTGATTGAGAAGGCAAGGCAGTCCTGGCCAAATGCGGCACCCAGCCGCCCACCCACCTAATTACCAGTGCCCAGTGCACGGCTGTCTGTGGCCTTTGTCAGATCTTATCTCTCCAGGAATCTGGTTCTGCTCCCAGTCAATTACAAGCCGTTTTATTATTATTTTTTCGTCTACTTCTTTTGCTTTAAATGTCCCATTGTCTGACTCAAAGTGATTTTGATTTACGATGCACACTTTACAATGCTTGTTTAAGAAATAGCTGCTCTGCTGAGTAGAATTGACCTAAGTAAACGTTATGCCCTCTCTTTTTGTGTTTATTTTTTCAGGGACCATGTTTGCAATGTGGCATAAAATGAACTTTGCAATGTGGTGTAAAATGTGTCTGAGTGCATATGGATTGAGGACAAAACTGACATATGCTTGCTTGCGACAGTTTTAAGACACTCGCTCTTGACAAATGTTAACTTTACAATGCTACTTTTGAACATTCTTCTTTATACCCCGGAGTATATATTTAATTATATTGCTTCACATACTTCCATTGAGGCCTGTTCATTTTCACACTATCCGTCTCGTTTGGTAAATGGAGAGTTCACTCACCCTCTGACATGGGAAGGATAGCTGTTGGACCAGTGTGTACAGAAGTTGTTATGATTCCGCATGCTGGCACTGACCCCTGCTAAGTGACACATTGCAGTGGCTAAATGTTGCCTCACCCCCTAACCCTCCCCTACCCCACTCATTTTCCCAAACCTAAAACCCAGGGCTCAAAGGTCAGACCTCTGCAATCTATTTTCGCTGGAGTGAAATTGTCTGTGCTTTGTGCTGGGTTTTGTTAGCAGAGGCACGGTAATAGGCATGAGATTTGCTCATTTATGGCAAGGTATTTTATTTCTATTTCCGGCAAATGTAACTCTTGTCATTAAAAGAAGTTTCTCTTTGTGCTAGTATAGTTGCCTCCCTGCTAGCTGTTAATTGTGTTGCATTGCTTACATGAAATATAAGTTTAACTAGCCAGCATCAAGTGCAGATATTTTTTCATCACTTTAGATTTAGCTTTTTAAACTCTGTTGCACATATAATTATAATGGTCTTACTTTGTGCACATGTATTTCATGTATTTATTTTTACTTACAAAGCAGTATTTAACAAGTAGAGACAATGTAATTTATTTATTTGCAAACTTTCAAAAGAGAAAAAAAATACAGAATTTTAAGATTCATTAAAGTCCCATTACGAGTCGGCTTCAGATATGTTTCCTAAAATTGAAAGACATTTATTAATGATGCATATTGGACTTGGATGGAAAAAGTACCATTTCTGTACACACAATTTCCACCATTAAATTTTCATTGTGGCGTGGTGAACTATGACAATGTGAAAAAAATATAAAAGCATGAGTTTTTTGTCTAGCGCTTTTATACGTGCTCCCACACAAAGACAAAGATTACCCATATAGCCGTAAGGGCTGTTTGGGGTAAAGTGTTATAGCGAGAGCCAAGACGGCACTGTACATGAGGGGTGATGCGGCAAACAGCATGCCTTTCCACTTTTGTCTCCAAAGTGCCAATGTTTACACACCGCACCAAGTACTAATTTAAGGGCTGAGTCAACCCAGGGGAAGCCCAGGACCGGTTAATATAGTCACCACTGATGTTGACAGTGAGTGGGAATCAGGACTCAGGTCGCTGGGTTTATCGCAAAGTTTGCTAACCGCTCTGATACCATTCCTCTCTCCCTCACATACACACACGTATACGCATGCACACATGAACGTGCACACATATAAACACACAAACTCACGCACATGCACACACCCCACTGTGGTCTCCAGAGAGTGCAGGCAGCGGTGCGGCAGCTGCTTTCTCTCGGCCCTCGGCTCTCGCGGAGCCCCTGCCCCACTTCCTCCAGGAGCCGGAGGACGCCTACATCGTGCGCAACAAACCGGTCACCATGAGCTGTGCCGCCTCGCCCGCCACCCAGATCTACTTCAAGTGCAACGGGGAGTGGCTCCACCAGAAGGCCCATCACATTGAGGAGAGGGTGGATGAGACAACAGGTATATACCCTGATTCATAATCGATTTTTGGGTTGGGCCACCTCATGATGTGGCCATAGTTCAGTCGTAAGATCCTCCACCATACAAAATAATGAAACACAATTGTCGTCACTTGTACAAGCATTTAATGCACCAATTGTTACTATTTGAGAGCACTGGTAAGTTGGATGATTAACATCAAGGATCTTCAGAATCATCCAGGTAGTCAGACTAAAACCCAGTAAGTCAGAATGCATATATCACCTCAGCCAGCTTGTCCAATAGGTGTCATGAATTATCAGGAACAACCAATCAGATTGAAATTATATATTAACCATTTTAAATGGATTCGTTCAAATTTCATTCTAATTGAAACATACAATATAACTCTACATGTGATCCCTTGATCTCCCTCTAGTTTAAATCCTTCTGCCCGCAATGGGAGCAAAGAATTGTAGTGCTAAGCCTTTACCTTTATACCATTGCAAATGTATTTAAAGATGTAGAGGTGGCTGAGTGACTGAAATGTTACTTGTGTCAGAACACTGAACGAGCATAATTGAGAGGCAGGGTTTTTAAATCCTGAGATTCAGTCAGGTTTTAAAATCTATCGAGTCTACAATACCAGCCTAGTCACTAATTACTGCATGAAACTGACATGAAATAATACAGTATTGGCTTTTCACTTCCGATAATATAGCCTAGGGCAGCTACGAGACATAAAATTTATAATTTATGGGATGATTGACCTGCAGAAAGCACCCTTGATGGAGCTTGAAGGAGCACTGTCGAGTGCTTGGTAAGAGAGGGCTCTCGAAGTGGCTCGAGAAGCAGTTCTGCGGTATCATCTTCCAGGGCCATCTTCTCGCTGTAATATGACGACGCACCGCTGACTGAGAGAATTTTGGAAGGGTATGCATGTTTATTCTTGAAGTGGCTACAATTGCAAAATTAACAGAGAAACTTCTTGGTAATAATGTGAAATAATTGCCCTTAATAGAGAAAAGCAAAATATCATGTTTCCCATTTTAAGCTTCTGTTTAAATGTATTACGTTTCAGTGATATGTATTATTTAAGAGCTGTTAGTTTTTCTAACCATCAATATGCAATATTTAATAGGCTGTGCAATTTCAATCTCAATGCCATCTGCTTATGTTGTTTGGCATTTATTTGTGCCTCACCTGTTGTAGAGTTAATCTTTAACACATTGCGATATAAATCAAAGGGATGTGTGTGTGTGCAGACAAAGCTATAATTCCAATGTAAAATAAATGGCTTAAACTAAATCATGAATACTCATGATAACATTTCCTTCAGTGAAATGAGTCTCAAATATAAATGAAAGTATCATAAATGACATTGAATATCCAATTAATGAAATTGGTGTGAATGATATTTGTAAAATGTATCAAAATGCAGTACAGTATCTTCCAACATATTAATCGGACCTCTAGCATGGTGATGTGTTTAATTGTAAAACTATTTTCACAAATAAACACCAGAAATAAGAATGTGGCATTTACTGACCTGCTTTATTTGAACTCTTTAGTGAGTGTTTGCATCTGCTAACCACTTTAGCAGCATTGGTTCATGGCCATAATAGAAGTTTAAGCATTAAGAGACTAAATGGAATGGCTTGTCCTGGCTTTGTTACGTTATTATATGAACAGTGGCACGTTTGTCATTTTCATGAGTCTAATTAATTCACGTGTGCTAGGCTGTTGCAGGGATGTGCTTCAATGCTGTAAAGAACTAATTAGAAAAGCATCTCTTTATCAGGGAACGATAAGTTACCTATTGAGAGTGGATAATTTGCCTGGAGACCAGTCACAATGGAATAAGCATTTGGAAAAGCACTGCTAGGTATTTGACATCCCAAACCAGATGAAGATGGTGGGATTATTATCCTCACCAAAGGCTCTGTTTTCTGGGTAATGCTGACTGGTTGTTCTCAGTTTTTGAGCTTCAGCTGCTATGCCAGTCGCAAATAGTAATGACGTGTAGGTGGACATGCCCATAATCTAGAAACGTAAAGGCTGGGTTGGTGGATTGTACAGAGATATATAACCATTGCGTGTGAGATGACTATCTAAAGGGCAATATGGTGCCTGTAGGCAGCAGAGCAGCACGGGGTTTTGTGATATGTCTAAGTTTGATTGCTATCCTCTCACATGTACAGAGTTTCTCTTTGCACTCACTTCTCCTAACATTTAACATTGCTTAAACATAAAAATAAAGAATTAGGTAAAAATCTGAATGAGAGCTCTCATGAAAAAAAAACCGTGTTGAAACTCAGTGACAATTTACTTAAATATGTGACCTGGATAAACAAAAATATCTTTGTGTGGGTACAGTCTAAACTAAAACTATAATAAACTATTAAAAAAATAGTCTAATCAAAATAGTTTAGTTTTAACATCTCTTTGTGTGCTTACAGTCTGTGAACACATAAGTGTGTATCTTCAGGATTGTGTGTATCTTCAGGATTAGAACTGTTGTGTGTCTGGAGTGGGGAATATGCAAACACCCTCAAGTCTGCCTCCAGATCGGTTTGGTGCCAGATAACAGACTGGCCTGGGCCGGTACAGCAGCTGATTGTGATGTTGTTCATTCTGCTCTCGCAGGGCGGTCAGTACGGGAGGTTCAGACAGACGTGTCCCGGCAGCAGGTGGAGGAGCTGTTTGGGCTGGAGGACTACTGGTGTCAGTGCGTCGCCTGGAGCGCAGCCGGCACCAGCAAGAGCCGCAAGGCTTACGTCCGCATAGCATGTTCGTATCCCCTGTGGGCGGAGGGCTGAACGCGTGTTTTTTGTAGTGGAAGTGACACACACATTTTTTTGGTGGATGTGAAAAGCACTTCAATTCACAAATGCAGCACAGTTGTGACTGGTGAATGCTACTCTTTAAATAACCCGAGTCATATTCATAGCCATACCAGTACTGTAACCTTAACTCTTCCCCTAATTTGGCAGTTTCGTTATCGTGAATTACTCTTAGTTGGAAGGTTATGAGTTCAACCTAGTTGGGTATTAGAGCAGCTTGCCGTCGCTCAGGAGTTGAGACACTCGAGTACTATTTTTCATGAAGGAAGCAGGCGTTTTTCCTTTTGGGGACATTTCATTCTTCCATGGGAATGAGGAACTTCAACCGCTGACAACGTGGACACCAACTATGATTGCCATTCTCGTTTGAGCTAGGAGACGCTGGCTTTGAAACCTAGCCTTAAAAATAACCATGCCACTTTCATAATAACATGTGCCTCAACTCCAATATTAAAATAGTAACTTTATACATAGCCTTAACATTAATACCGACCCAAAAACCTACCTACACTCGACAGATACCGTAGATGGGTATCATGAGAAATATATCGACGGTTGCAGTTTCATTCACTCAATTGAGCCTCCTGCCTCAGCTTACATTGGAAAACGCTAAATAGTTGCCTTTTGGTTTTACATACAGTACAAAACTGGGATTATTTTGTGCAAGCTCATCATTCATCAAAGACCTTACTATACGTGATAATACTTTCAAATATTTCATGTGCATGCTGCTTTCAACATCGTGGCAGCAGTTGCATTTGAGAAATTGAAATTGGAATGTAACAATGAAATGTTTTTGCGATATATAAAATTTGTAAAAGCATTCCATTAGGCTTTCAAAAATGGATAATTTGAAATGACCAGTTCTGATGGTGGATTGCTTTGTGTTAGATTTGCGGAAGAATTTTGAGCAAGAGCCACTGGGCAAAGATGTTCTTCTTGACCATGAAGTTCTGCTGCATTGTCGCCCTCCTGATGCCATTCCCCAAGCCGAGGTGAATACAGTGTCCCTTTTGAGTTTTACTATGTTTAGTTTCACTCACGATTAAAAATAACGTCTTGTTCCCTTGCACATCGTACATATTTTACATTGAACCATTTCGTGTCTTTTCTTCATTGTCCCATGCACCTTTAATGTAATATATACTTGCATTTATTTGTATATGGATAACACGTTTTAGGAGCATGATTGATAACCAAATGAGCTCAAAAGCTGGGAATGTATCGTCATGAGGAACTTTCATAATACGAGCGGAGAGAAAAGAGACCAGATAGGAAGAGTGCAAAACGGAAGTACGTGATGGCCCAGCTGAGTTATGATCTGGCCATGAGGTGTAATCACCCAAGTATGTCAAAGCCTGCATTAAACATGTTTCGAAAGCATTTAGTTGATTGCTTTTTTGACATTTTGGATGAGCTGCAAATTACAGAACTATATATTGTCCATAAAAATATAATGAAGAGGGCTGTATTGTTTATGTTCATGCCTTCTTGGGTTCACCACTTGTGTAATGTTAATACAACAGCAATGTTCACCCATTCTGGTAGGCTACTGTACAGATGAGTGGAATGAGAGGCAGTTGAAATTTGTATTGGTCTATAAATGGAATACGGCAATGTAGTTTCCGAGGCATTTTATTTTAATTTTGTGTGAATGTTTTCATTGGGCTATGATACTGGCATCCGGTAATAGATTCGGTGTTCTTATATGTTTCTTTAATAACAGAAAATTTTATTATACTTTGGTAATTTTCCACGTGAATACAGGTCTGTGATGGGACTCAAACCCAGTGTAAACTGGCTCCGTACCAAACACTCTCCCTAACCAGGCACTGCATCTGCCCTAAGGAGAAATCAGCATCATTAGCTTAAATAACCCTGGGTGAACAGAATGACTGCAATTAGCAGGAATTGCAGCATCTGTCTGCAAGAAAATGGATTTGCTAATTGGAATCATAGGTCTCGTATAGATGCCACAGGCTTGGTGTTTGAAAAATATATAACTGTCTGAAAGGTTTCAGGAACGTCATAGACCAAGATAAGATCAAGTCTGGCAGGCTGGCTGGAGGCAAGTTGGAGATCCCACATTGCCAGATAAACTCTATCTTCTTGATAAGCCTTAGCCAAACAGTGTTGTGAAAGACCAAGCCAGCACTGCATCACAAACCAAAATAAACATGTGCTTTGCTCAGGAGGTTATTATAATGGAAAATGAGTGACGCTAAATAATTAATGGATAAACGTGTGTTACTTGAGTGGTGAAAATAAGTAATTTGTCCCTAATGTGTTACAATATTGTTGATGGGGTGTTTTGTACTTCATCTAAATATGCACTGTGTATGCTATCTTCAATTTCACATGACTGCATACCACCATGAGCGATTTTTGAAGATAACCAACCCTCATAATGATAATCCTGAAGTTCCATAAGGGCTTGGGCTGCTGGAACGCAGTGATTTATTTGGCTCCTGTACAGTCAGAAACTCCATTCCATTTGCAGAAGATAAACTAAACACAGGAATTGTATAAATGGGCATTCAAAATTAATGTTCAAATCTGCTGCTGAAATTGGTTTTACCTACCATTCTAATTCATTGTGGTCCACATTTGAAATCCCTTCCAGAAGTATGTTCAGGGCTGTGCCATTTTTTAAATAATTGTTTATCTTTCGCGAGGAAAAGTTAGGAAACTACACTCATGCTTGACCCAGATAAGTTCACAATTGATCACAACCATTGTTTTTAGAGAGTGGCAATGTATCGCAATTAAAGTATTTGACGCTGATGTTAAATATTTAACGGTGTCCCCTTGAAATGCTACTAACACCACTGCAAATACATGGTCTACCTCTATCGATAGACATTTATTTTCCATGCTTACCAATATGATTGGAAGGTATACATTGATAAATGTAGTTTTAGTTTTAGCCAGTGCATCTCTACTACTGCCAATGCAGTACTTTAAATGTTGTTTGAAATGTGGTACCGATGCTTTGATTTGGTCGGTAAAATCCAGCTACTTGCAACTGCATGATTTTTACCCAAATAGTACACAATGCAACATAATATGAATAGCAACACATAAAATACATGCTAAGAAGGTTCATGCAGAAGATCCAATCACAACAGTTTTGGATTTGCAGAGCATCTATTTACGAACGAATCTCAAGTTGTACGAAATATTTGGACGTTCATCACGGGGGAAAGATGTTTACTCGATATTATTTTAAGAGAAGGAACAATCAGAAGAGAAAGGTTTGATTTCAATTGCATAGTTTTAGACGTGGTTTCTTCCTTGAAACTTTAAATTTTGCCTATTCTATGTTCATCAACTGACAATGCATTTCCCATTTTAGGTGGAGTGGCTGAAAAATGAAGAAATTATTGACCCAGTCATAGATCAAAACTTCTACATCACGGTAGATCACAACCTGATCATTAAGCAGACTCGGCTGTCAGACAGCGCTAACTACACGTGCGTTGCCAAGAATCTGGTGGCTAAGCGGCGGAGCTCTACTGCCACGATCACCGTGTATGGTATGTGCTGCTTATGCCTGCAACACAAGCTGATTCCATCACAACCACAGCCCTAACCCACAGCCTCAACGCAAACCAACAACCTCAATGCTAACCCAAGCCTCGATACTAATTCATAGCCTCAACGCTTACCCACAGCCTCAGCTCTAATACACAGCCTCAACCCTAACCCACACCCTCAAGACTAATTCGCAGCCTCGACACTAACCCAAATCTTAATGCTAACCAATGGCCTCCAAGCTACCCAACAGCCTCGACACTAACGCACAGCCTCAATGCGAACCCACAGCCTCAACACTGACCAGCTGGGTGGTGAAGTATGGTCAATAACTCCCATGACTGAGACAGTGTGTGGCAGCCTTAATTCGTTCAGCAGTGGTTTCACAAAAGGGCTATGAATGATAATGAATTATTAACTAAATCCTGTGCCCATTTTTCCACCGGTCTGTGCTGCTATAGATGTAGGCCTCTGATGGACCATTTGACATTGCAATCTGATTGCAGGCTTCACTACTGCCTCAAACCTCCCCAGGGGAGCAGACACTCCCAAGTTGTAAAGCATCTGCTTTAACCCGTTTATGATGTAGTAAGAATCAACAGCATACACAACTCTGTGCTGTAAACAACCACATGCGTCCCTTACAAAGTATCTAAAGTTTTTTTTAATTAATGCATGGACTGCATGTAATTTCTGCTGATTGTTGGTTCACAACATTACATGAGATGTGTATTAAAACGAACACATGCAGCAAGGAACGCTATAAAATAGTCAGTTATTACAGTATGTGTCCTTTGTTTTAATTTAATCCAAAGTATGCTGTATCAAATCTCATCAGAATCTATAGACAGCACAGATTAACAGATCAAATGCAACTACAGCCTTGTGTTATAGATGTTATACACACGTAGAATCTGGTTAACAACTGTGATGATAAGGTAGCAAATGCATTCTTTGAATAGAACCGATTGCTGAGTGTATTTACTGACTGGAACTGGTGTTGGTGACTTGAAAAGGGTCATAATCCCTGCTTTGTTGTCCATAAACTTACAGCACCGTCAGTTTCACTCTCAATGTTACGTCACCTGTTTTGGTTTACATCAGTGAATGCATTTATATGCAAACCGTTTAAATGTATATGGGAAAGTGTAAACATTCCACTGTCAGATTTGTATGAATAATTTACTTTAGGAAAAGCTGAAATAAAATTGTTTTATAGTTAATCATAATACTTGACTTATAAAATCGTTCAACAATCGTTCAACAATCTCCTGATAAAATGATTTGTGCCTCTGTTAGATATGGAGCCATTGTGCAATATTCAATCAAAAGTGGCTCATAAAAAATTAATGGGGTCGCTATAAATGGATCCATCTGTATACAACAAATAAAACAACATTTGGAGCATTACATCCTATAAATCTACCACATTGAGAGATGCAACACATTTTGATTTAATGATTATCAGAAAAAGGCAATATTGAACTGAGCAGTAGTTATTCCCATATCACCTTTATTTCTGAAGCCTATAACACCATGAGTTAACATATTTCAAGAGTTGTAGTCCTATTAGATTTGCAGCCATTCAATGGGCCCCTTGGGGTCTGCAATCAGAGTAAGATCTGCTGAAATACCAATTAATAGCAATATTTACAGTCCTTTGTCAATTTACTGCTGGACAGGGCTGGAAATAGAAACACATTACAGGGGGAACTCAATAATTGCACCCCCACCCCATCCAAATCTGGCCTGTGCCAACTGAGCCTGAGTGCTAGGGGTGGGGGGGGGGGGGTGGGCGGCGCACGTGAGCACCGACGTTGTTTGCCCGTTTCAGCAGCACAAATCGATCTTATATACACGTGTCATGTATATTGGCAGACCTTTCACGCAATTTTATGCGCGTGTTTCTCCAAACGTACCGTTTGGGAGATCCAGAGCGTGATGGATGGACACTTGCGGATTACACATTTGGATACATTGAGACCCCCCCCTCCCCCCCGCTGCTACTACACTTATCCCTGCTGATTTGGATCAGTTCGACGCACGTAGTCCGGTTAACATTTTCACTCCCACCTCGGCGTTCTGGGTCGTTGCGGCCCATTTCCACCCCTGCCACTCGATGAAGGCCTCCCCATGCCATTTACATCATTGAGCAGATTGACGATACCTGTACTTTAACACGATGGTTAGTGTGGGCTGGTGAAGGGGTGGACAGGGCAACATCAGCTTTCACTTGACAGGTTCATAGTGCAGTGGCCTAACCCATAAATGCCGCTTACGTTTTGTAGTTTCTCTTTTATATTTCCACGTGATGTTTTATGACGCTCAAAACCACTCTTACCAGGCGATTAAAACCCATCAGCACACAAACTTCCAATAGCTGATCATAAGGTCTCTTTCTGTCTCTGGTAACTGGTCATTTAATGGCTGATGTTGGTTGGCTCTTGTGAGGCAAATTGTGGTAATTGAGCCTATTTGGTGCATTGCTTTATATTGCATTTTAATGTTCCTGTGAATTTCAGATACGGGTGTCAGATGCCCCCGTGTTGTGTCAGTGGTGTGTTTTGATTGCCCTAATTTATGTTAATATCAAGGAATTACATATTTTCCCAATAATGGAGTCATTTGTTTTTTGTTGAACGGGACCAAGAGCATCTCTGCTCTCCTCTGAAGAGGGAAAGATAATCTTTGCACTTTCTATGACTTAATAATGCATGCAATTAGCTATTTAATGAGCTTAATCATTGCTTAAAGTAAAATTTTCTAAATAAAAACATTGGAATTTTACAGTAATGATCACTGCAGATTCCCATCTGGGAGTGTATCCGATTGCTTTTATTGTTATCTTCACAAAACCGCAAATGACGACCCGAGAGAACAATTAATGGACTGTGCTTTAGCATATTATAAACACTTAAGTTGGTCTGACCTACACAAACTGATTAACATTCATTTATTGTAATTGTTTATGCATGCATCAGTAAACATCCGCTTACAGATTAAAATGTGTGTGGTGTCCAAGCCACCTGCGCTAGGCTGATTGGCTAGGTATGCATCTGGCATGCGTGGTACTGGCCATACCAACCTCTTCGTTTCCCCCGCTGGCTTAAATAGATTTCATTACATCGGTTCGTTAAATAATGTTCATAACGGTGGTGGTTGTGTGTGATTGTATTTCTGTGGCTGAAATGCCCTCCTGGCAGTGAATGGGGGGTGGTCCCAGTGGACGGAGTGGTCGCCCTGTAACAGCAAGTGTGGCCGTGGCACCCAGAAGAGAACCAGGAGCTGCAGTAACCCGACGCCTCTCAACGGAGGGGCTGTGTGCGATGGTCAGGGTGTGGAGAAGATGCCATGCAGCTCCCTGTGCCCAGGTGCAATGCCTCTTCATTTCTTTGGTCAGATCACAGTGGTGCGGTCGTAATTTCACGTGTTGAAATAAAATGGGTGTAAAGTTGCTTGAGCGCATATACACGTGAGTGTGAATGCGACAGCACTAATAATAAGTGAACTTAAAATTCTCTTTGTACCATCGTTTATTGAGTTTGCTTGAACTGCTTAGTTTTACATTCTTGATTGTGACATTGTTGGTTCGTTTCCCAGGACAGCAAATGCAAACAGGATGTTAATTTATGTAACCTGATGCATTACTGGAAAAGTAAATAAATGTGCTCCATTTCTTGTTCTGGATGTTGATGCAGTGATCCTGAGCTATGGCACTGCTATTTGTGCACATATCCCGAGTTATGCCTATGGTGGGCTTTTCCCTATTCATTCTACTTTGTGCATTTCAGTACAATGATGGACCAGTTATGTGCTGGATTACCCTCTGCTGGATTTGTAGTAAAGGAATATTGAATTTTTACGATTGGTTCTGTGCTGTAAATAGAGATGTGCACCGCCCCCCACACTTGCTTGAGCATGGTGGCATTTTGACTCTCCTGCCTGCCTATTCATGTGCAGCAGCTGAATTTTTCCGCATGCCGTGACATCGTCCTATATGCTGTGCTGCGTGCCGTGGCAGTGGATGGCGGCTGGGTGGAGTGGAGCAAGTGGTCGACCTGTGGTCCCGACTGCACCCACTGGAGGAGCCGGGAGTGCTCCAACCCGGCCCCTGTCAACGGAGGCAAGGATTGCCACGGCTCTCCACTGCAGTCCCAGAACTGCTCCGACGCTCTCTGCCTACAGAGTGAGTACAGCTTTGCCACCCACGATTCTGTGCAAATCCAGTAATAAAGCATCCATCGACTCGAGCACATGTCCGTTTGGTACTGTCGCCAGCGTTTTACAGCCACACGGTTGTGTGAGCGTGCAGTCCACTGTATATGTGATTTCTTTTTTATTCTATTGGTACATTTGATTCGCTTTCGAGTCAAGTCCCACTATGACATTAATTAACACTGCCTTGCACAGTGCATGAAGCAAGCCTAGTCCCCGCAGACATAATTATTCTGATTTTTGCACGGTGTGCATGTTGCCCGCTAAAGGCTGCGTTGTTAAGATTAATGAGCTGCTTCACGCTAATGCAGCTATGCCACTTTATCGCGGAGTGGTCCATGGCAGTTGGCAACTGGTCCCAATTTATTGCCATAGATAGATCAGTGTTGTGGAATGAGGCTGAACTTCATTCATAGGCTAATGTGTGTTTGCCGAACGTTTTGGATCTGTCAGGGATGAGTGCTGCATTTGATTGCAATCCAATTTTTACAGCGAAGATCGTGTTTAAAAGGAGTATTTCACTCGTAAAAGCCATTTCTGTTGACATGACATGTTTTAAATAATGTAGTTGATTTCTAACATTATTATTCTAATGAGCAATCATTTGAATCAGGATGCATTGTAAATGCATGTGTGTGTGTATATCTCGAATTGTAAAAAAAGTATATGCATTGAATGATTGTGATTTGTGTGCAAAATGAGTTCACTTTTTTGTTTATTTTTCTTAAAACGTTTGATTGTCTGTCTCCTGCAGATGCAAAATACCGTGATGAGTTGTTTTATTGTAAGTTTTCTTTCATTTTGTTACATTTTGCTTTATTTTATTGTGATTTTTATTTTTTGAAACCTTGTTTCCCAGGTCCTGATCACAAAAAATGTAAATTTCAAACATAAATAATACGTATAAATTAAGCATAATGAGATGCATATAACATAATGTCTCTACGAAACGTTGTGTGAACACATATAATTATTTATATAAATGCTCGATTTAAAGCTTTCGTAACTGCAGGGATTCATCTTCTTGGTTCTTTCGGTAAAGTCACGTAGAAGGGAAGTAATAAAATAATAATATATTCTTATATTATTATAATATTATTTTATTTTATTATGTTTTATTTTTATTATTTTATTACTTCCCTTCTACATGACTTTACCGAAAGAACCAAGAAGATATATCAATGCTGTTTATGTTGTGTTACCAATTGTAGTAATATAATATTCATCTATTTTGTGAAGGGTTCACCATTATAAATCATATTACATGTGAAGGAAGAATGGACATTGAAATGCTATGCTGTGCAATCAGATCCAACTTATACCATTCGTCACAAAACGTGCATGCAATGTGATATATAGTGTGGGGTTTGATCAGACCCTCTTAGTTCATGCTATAAAGCAGTGCCAATAAACATTAATTCTAATTTAACCTTGCATAAATAATTGAGGTTAATGAATACTGAATGTAAAATTCCACTTTTTACCTACATTAAATTACACGCACCTGGCAAAGCCAATAATTTTAATACATGAAAAGGAAGACATTTTTTACAAACCTTGTGAAGTAATAATATAGCGGTTTACCTTGATTAATTGGCATCCATTTTTGATGGTATGACTTCTTAAAACAGAATCACATTATATTTGCAATCAGTTCCCTTTCTTGATTACCATTTAATTTGGTAATGCCATGGGCCTGTTATTATAAGCCCTATAGTAAAATTTAACTGTGCCAGTTTAGTAAATGGCCAACTCGGTAGCACTGTGGCAGAAAACCTGACTGACAGTTTGAAAGGCGCAATCTCAAATCCTTCTCAGGGGTTGACTCGACTCTCTACCCAAATAGGGGTCAATAAAATGAGTACCACTGCGACAATTCAACAGCAGTTGCCCTCCGGGGAGACCATGCCCCATCACAGGATGTGTCATTCCCAAGAACGGATCCAGGCTGCCTTGGCAGATTAGCTACACCCAAGGCTTGTTTGAGCAGCGAAGAGACACTTTTGTAAATGTAACAAATGCAATTGTCGCCATAATGGAAGTTTGTGAGATGCCGCAGCCCCGAGCAATGGTGTTCCTTTCTCTTCTGCCACAGCGTCGGAGGCTCGAGGGGATGAGGTGGCATTGTACGCCGGCGTGGCAGCTGTGGTCGTTATCACAGTCGGCATCGTCTTGGCCGCAGCCATCCTCTTGTACAAACGACGCCAGCAAGAGTACGGCTCTGACATCATTGAATCAGCCTCAGCCCTGACTGGTGGATTTCGTCCTGTCAACCAGAAGGCTGGTAGGCACGGTTAGTGTCCATTTCCCCCTTCTATACATTTATGCTTACACTTGTTATTGTGAGGTGTTAATCTTAACTTTGGAGCTTTCGTGACTGCAGGAATTATTCTTTGGTTCTTTCGGTAAAGTCACGTATAAAGAAAAAATAATAAATAAATAAATAGCATATTATTTAATTTATTATTTTTTCTTTATAAATTAAATAATAATAGCATATTATTTAATTTATTATTTTTTCTTTATACGTGACTTTACCGAAAGAACCAAAGAATATTGTGAGGTGGTTATTCAAAATAAATAGCCTGCAATAAATTCCCCAAAATTACAGTGATCAGAACAGTGCAAATGTATATAAGTATGTTGAACTTCTCTTGCACCGTACGTAGCCAACCACGCTAATCGGAGGTGTGGTGGGAAGGATAACAAACTAAACACAAAAAGCAGTTCTAAAGAAATGCGTTTTCCATCTATATAAAAGAGTGCAAAGCTTCAGTGGCTTCCTAATATCGGAAGGAAGAGCATTCCAGACGGCAGCAGAAGCGCATCTAACAGCGCCGCGATGTAGTGACCATCTTTTTTCAATGGCTAGCCAAAAGCCGCTGCGAGGATGACTGGACTTTGCATGATAGTTTATGCTCCTTGATGGGATCAGCAAATGACAAGAAGAATTGTGCACGGTTACCACATAAACATTCTACATGAGGGGGTCACCCCCCACGATCACTGGCGGAGCCAGTGGGGGGGGAGGGGGGGGGTGGCACGTGTCCCCCCAATGATCCGATCGAAATCCCTAATTTCAATCGGATCATTCGGGTTTATTAGTAATAAATCGGCATTTTGCGACCCCCACTGTCACTGTGTAGCATATTATTACATGCCAGAGACTCTATGAGATGATAGGACAATAGTCTGAGTCCATAATTGGCAGTAAGTAACGGCAAAGCAGTTATAAGTGACTCACAGAATGGTGCACAGTTGCGTATACAGTACACGACTTCCTTGAAGGCAAACCTTCAACGAGCGCGATGCCGATCACACACGGTTCGAATTAGTCCCTCGATCGATGGCTGTGCCATCGCCGCACACGCATCGAATGAAAGGCAAGGGATCAGTCCTTACTTACTAACAACTATAATTTTGACCACGATCAATTATTTATTTAAATTCGCTACCCGAGAACGGGGAGAGCAGAGAAACCCCTCGCGCAATCCTTTGTTATAAACCAGTTTTGTCCACCCATCCATAATCGCTAGTCTGGTTCATTACATGTGGAAATTGGAAAATCTGTTTAGCCATAAATTAAATGATTAGCATCCCTTTTTTTAAGCTTGACAATGCTTGCTGATTACCCACAGTCAACAATTCCAATTATGCCTCTACCTTGTAATATTGTGAGACATCACTGAAGCATGCCATCAATAGTGCAGGGGACTTTAGTTTCATTGAAATTGAGAAATGTATGGATGCAGTTAAGGTTATTTTTGTGGCTGAACCGTTAGAGCATAATAGTTTGTGTGATTTTCATACAAACGGAGTGAACGGTTTACTATTATAGCTTTTAATATTTTCCAGGACTAGCTTCCAACTCGGCCAGTGATGGCGTATATATACATACAACCAATAACTGTCCAAGATACAGAAATTATTAATTTAGAACACAGAACACGCTGTGGTATTATTCCATTGGACTACATTTTGTGCTTGGGAAACCTTATGGCTGAGTGCATGTGTGGTGCACTGACCCTAAAACCACACATGTGCCTCACCTGCATTATAACTGTCACTCTCCACGCTTCCTAATCCTGACCCTGTAAGCCTCAAATACCAGATTCCTCAATCCGCAGAGGATAAATCCCCACAAAGGGAATTCAAAGGTGGTGGCGGTGGTGGGGAAATCATAAATGCAGTAAAGTTCATATGTATGTGTGTATGTACCATGCAGCCACCAGTTAAAATTGATGAAGCCACCGACTCTAGCGACCGTTTGAGTGAATAATTGATATGGAAATGTTACTACATACAAATACTACATTTCGCCTTTGTGATTCATATTACACTGTTTGACAATTATGTTTACATGCACCCTCGCATTGTATAAATGCAAGTAATACATGCGTATCAAAGTGGGTAGGCCATTAACACATCACGTTCAAATATTTTCCATTCTGTTAAATTTGTGAGATCTATAGGTTTCTAACGTAAAAAAAAAATCTAATTTGTTTGCACTTTTGTTCAAAAGCTGTCAGTCCAATGATGGACCAGATTGTAGTGTAGTATTGACAAATATGGGAGCAGCAGCACAGTGGTTAGGGGACTGTGCAATAAACCTGGTGACTTGATTTTGATTCCCGGTCATGGCTTACATCAGTGGAGAATGGTATCTGAACCTGTCTTTGCCCACCACTTCACAGCCTACACTGACCAATTTTTCGATTTAAAGCTTTCGTGACTGCAGGGATTCATCTTCTTGGTTCTTTCGGTAAAGTCACGTAGAAGGGGTGTAATAAAATAATAAAAATAAAACATAATAAAATAATATAATATATTTTATTATGTTTTATTTGTATTAATAATATAATATATTTTATTATGTTTTATTTTTATTATTTTATTACTCCCCTTCTACGTGACTTTACTGAAAGAACCAAGAAGATACACTGACCAATGTCGTAAAGTGTGATCAATAACCCCCAAGACCAACACATCATGGGGAATCCTTCATTAAGCAGTGGACTGACATAGGGTTGTAATTAATTATTTCATTTAAAATGAAATGTTAAATGTTCAGAATGGATAGTTTGAATATTTCTTACTACAGCCCATGTATACAGAGAAAGATTAACAGTCAAATATGACATTAAAAAGATCATATGAAAGCACGTGCAAAGGAAATAAACACTGCCCTGACACAGCAGCATACCCGCATAAATATGGTCTGCATACCAGCACAACAAGCTAGATGCAGAATGCTTAATTGCACAACGTTAAAGCAATGAGCCACCAGTAAAAACAACATGGCACATATTACTTACAATTGTGTTAGGTTTGAAAACAAGTAAGGCTCGTTCCTCTGCCCCAATCTAAACAAATTTAACAACATGACGTGCGTGAAATAACGTCGCCGCCGCCACCTTCTGCGCTGTGCTCACTCACGCTGCTCCTCTTTTACGCTTCTCCCGGCAGCCGACAACTCGTACCTTCTGCGCACGGCCATTCAGCCCGACCTCACGGTCACCGCCGGCTCGTTCCAGCAGCCCGCCTTCCCCGCACACGACGCGGCACAGAAGATCCCCATGACCCAGTCGCCGCTGCTTGATGCGCTGCCAAGCTTCAAGATCAACGTGTGTGGCTCCTCCGGCCTGCCGCCTGCCGACGCGCAGGGGGGCAGCGGCCGCTCTGTCGCCGCGTCACCCAGGCGCCCCGCCCCAGACGGCAACGTCGGCTACGGAGCGCCAGGGCCCTCTCCGAGACGTGGCCCGCAGAGGCCCCGGCTGGATGCGGACCAGTCCAGCCTGAGGAGCGAGCAGGGCGTGGGGACGCTGCAGCACGGTGGCGGCGGCGCAGCATCTGGGGATGCTGGTGGTGCCAGTGTCTATGGGACATTTGGCTGCATGGGGGGCCGTCTTGTGATACCAAACTCCGGTAATTGAGACATTTTACGATGCGAGGTTTTCGCGGTTGTGCTGTGGAGACCCTCTAATGTGTTGCGGGGTCCTACCCCATGTTGTCTGATACACTGGCCGATTTTCCGCTCCACGTGCTGGGAGCGTCTTCACGGACTGAATTCAGTTGTTTCACAATGCATGCATCTGTGACGGAGAGTGGTTTTATGGAATATAGAATTACAGTATATGTCCTCGTAATGTTTTCACCTCTACGAAGATAGTTTTTCTTTGGTGGGACTAGCCCACACCTTAAGAATGTGTAATTTTCACTACTACCTCAAGGCTAACAGTGGAACATGACATTTGATGCTTATTTCAGCATGAGGTCGATCAAGATTTTTATTACTTTTCAGCACCTACTTTTTAACCCATCACGAGTGATAAGCCAATCGCATAACCGTCGTATTTTTACTGGCAAGAGAGAGACTATGTGGATAAATCTTGAATGAGCATTAAAACTGACTCTACATCACGATGACTCCATGTGTGCAAAAATAACCTTCAGTTAATTAACTTAGTAATGTAGGGATAAGTGAACATCATATAGTAATGAAATGTACTGTCCAGTTGCATAATGTGGGCTTGTGTTTTGAATGCATGATAAGAATAGGGTCACACATAGTTGAACAAACATACAAATAACGAGCATATTCTCCATGGGGTGGGGTGATAGGTGCTCATGGGTCGACATCATAGCACTCGGCTTGATAAATCTGGTGCTGGATTATGATGAGTTTGGAGAAGCCACAATGTCCACTGAAGATTGCATTTAGCCAATCTTGCCCTCGCCCTACTAACACGTTGATCAGGACCCCCCCCCCCCCCCCCCCAAAAGCAATTGCTGTAAGATGCTTGTGTTTAATTTCAAGCTTTATTTAAAATGTAATAAGATGTGAATATCGATTTAAAGCTTTCGTGACTGCAGGGATTCATCTTCTTGGTTCTTTCGGTAAAGTCACGTAGAAGGGAAGTAATAAAATAATAAAAATAAAACATAATAAAATAAAATAAAAACATAATAAAATAAAATAATATATTTTATTTTATTATGTTTTATTTTTATTATTTTATTACTTCCCTTCTACGTGACTTTACCGAAAGAACCAAGAAGAAGATGTGAATAAGCCATTTCTGGTTATCTAAATACATACGTAAGCTCACATCATCCGGTAATTTAATTATTCACTGCTTGCACAAGGCTCTTCCCCAAGCTATTGACCGAAATTTTAATCCACAACAATAACTTGTTTCAAGCTCTCAAGGCAAATGGATATTATGACTACACAATCCGCAAAGCCATGACCCCAACCGTGAGGAAGGAGCCATCTGAGGATCCAATCAAAACCATCACCTTGCCATACATAGCAGGGTAACCAAAAAGATTTCTAAAATCAAGAACAAACACAAGATCCAGATCCAATTTAACACAGTACATAAAATTTGTGATCTGATCCCATCTGTGAAGGACAAGATTCCTGACATGCAATATCCCGGTGTCTACAAACTAAGCTGTATCTGCGGCAGCAGTTACATTGGGGAAACTAACGACATGTCTCGGACTGTGTTCGTGAGCATACAGCAGATTTGAAACATGGTTTTCTCTAAGACGATGGTACTTTGCAAGCCTACTGGCTATCAACAAAGATTTGTCCATGAAGCCATCCATATATACAGACACAGACACAATTTAAACCAAGAGGATGGTTATAAACTCAGCAATCATTGGAAAGATGTCATCAACCACTTTGGGTCATGACTTGATTTGCGTTTTCTTGTCAACCTCTACCATCAGCTGTGTGGGTTTATGGAGCAAGGCACAATGATTGCCTGGCAGCCCTTTGATTGGTGAAGACCCGCCACAGGAGCTGTTGCTTCCTCCTACATTAACATTAGCTGCCCCGCCCATGCTGCTGACACTTGGGCTACGCCCATCTTCAAACCTTTATAAACAGTTTTCCTTTGGAGGCAAACCCCCCTTTTACTGATGACGACCGCTTGTGTTGCGATTGAAACGTCGTGGTTTTTATTTTGTATTAACCATTGCTACAGTCTACATGATCGAATGCCAGTAAACTCACTCCGATAAGAACCAAACTACAATCTACATTAGTATTTTAAATTTTTATTTTTATTATTTGTTTTCACTTTTTATTATTATTTTTCTATCTACGTGACTTTACCGAAAGAACCAAGAATATGAATTCCTGCAGTCACGAAAGTTTCAAGCCAAAATTTAATAACTTGTTTGTTTTATTGTTGAGCTGCAAAATAACGCGACCCATAAAAAATGTACTGTGTTAAAATATTAAGTACGCATTCAGGAGACGCAAGAATGGATTGCGGTGTGTAGGTTGGCGCCATGAGTCTTCACGTGCGTGCCTTTGCCTGCAACATCTGCTGTTTCTAAAATCTCTTGCTGTAATCTCCTCTGTCTCATCTCTTTTAAAAGGGCTGAGCTTGCTTGTGCCGCCTGGTGCAATCCCTTCTGGACAGTTCTACCAGATGTATCTCACTGTTCACAGGGACGAAGATAAAAGGTATGAAGCAAACAATAGATAATGTTGGTGCTTATCTTACGTCACGTTTTATTATACCCATTTGTATTGGTAAACCGTATCTTAAATTTAGCAAGCACCGCTTGTTTGTGCTTATTGTTCTCAACTGTAATATTTTTAAATGTGACAGTTCAGCAATTGGTGTTACAGAATGTTCTGTTTCGGCAGTTTAACTTATCCTTGTTCCCCAAGTGTTACTCATATATCAATGAACATTATAGTTACATTGCTTCATTTATTATTGCCGTATTTTAAGGCCATGTATGTATTCCATAACCATTTTACATTGCAGTTTAAAGGTACATCCCTGAAATTGCTTGCTCACGCCACTGGTTGGCAGAAGGGCCTCCACTAGAGGGCACATTAAAGGATAGGCTGTGGTGGGAAGACTTTACCCCACCACAATGTGATATGCCAGACACCTAACTAGTGTACCAATTTATACTGCTGGGTTGACATAAGTGGAGGGATTTAACAGACTTGCACCATTAAAATTAATACCTGCTGTGGTGTGTAAACATCAGCATTGGGGAGACAAAGGTGACGCATGTGTGGTGCTGGCCACACTCACCCCTACGTGTGCCGTGCCACTCTTCATAGGTGCTCGCGAACAGCAACAGACTGTGTAGGTTATATGATTTGGGGCTTTGTGTTTTTGTGTTCACAGGCCAGTGCTGGAGGGCAGCCAGACCCTGCTGAGCCCCGTGGTGTCATGCGGGCCCCCCAGCATCCCGCTCCTCTCCCCCGTCATCCTCTCCCTCCGCCACTGCGCCGAACTAAACTCTGAAGACTGGGCCCTCGGCCTCAAACGGCAGCTCGACTCCGGGCACTGGGAGGTGAGCCTCTTGAGTATTTTAGCATTAAGTCAAAGTTTATCCTGCCTGCTTGATTGAGTGTTGAGTAATTCTCATCTGAATTAGCTGTCCTGAGCTAGTGGTGGAAGTTCCACATCTCTGATATGTGTGAGTTTACCCATAGGATACTCACTGGTGACTTAGCACAGAATGGTACTTACTTTATTGACCCGAGATGTTAAGCTGATTGACATTCCGTCATTCCAAATGTAAGTGGGGTTCTGTATCAAAGCCTGATATGTATCATTATAAAGTCCTTAAGAGTGGATCAGATTGTGGCTTTATCCAAATGGCAGTGTATTGTATCTGAAACTACATCGCCAGTTATAATGATAAAGCCCTTCAAACAAGGGCACTTAATGGCACTTTAGAGAGAGTGCAGATAAAACAAAAGCCGAGTGAGTGCAGATAAAGGAAGAGCTGATAAAGAGCATGCACACACAGACACCAGATAACATGAGAGCAACTATGGGAAATAGGATAGAGAACAGATGGTTGATAGTGTGCTGCTGCTGTGGTGTACTGTACATTGCTTCCAAACTCCGCTTGCAAAATAAGAGACATCACGGAGAAAAGAAAGTGAGGGTAGTGCCGGGAGGACTTGTACTTCTGCCGAATAATCAAAGTGAACCATGCTGGAGTCATCATTAGTGCCTTTGACAGTATTAGGCAGCGGCAGAAATGACTGTTCAAAAAGTGCACTGTTGTTAACCTGTTCACACCTTACAACCTGTCATCGTCTGGCCTCACTATAATGAGGCTCTCCTGCAGAGGGGAAATGTTCAAATGTGTGCCTTGCCACTGGCGTGCCATAGCCGCCTACCTTTGCAAATGATTGCACAAGGCCTTTGGCATCATTTGTATAGCAGATGGTGTGCTCTAAAAATTCCCTGCACGATTACCAGTTCAAGGTGGGTTTCAATCCACCAAACCTTTGCAATATGCTTCTTGGAAACAAATGCTCCATGTGCTTTACAGCCCAACAGCGTCAAACATGTATATGCATTGGGCAGCAGGGTAGCACAGTCGTAGCACTCGCGCCTCACAGCAAGAAGGCCTGGGCTTTCATTCCCGACTTGGGCGCAATTCTGTGTTGAGTTTGTACTCTCTTCCCCCATTTCCGCATGGATTTCCTCCAAATACTCCTCCCATAGCTGCAAAACTCGCATTAAAGGTTGCTGTGCCGGCCATACATCCCAATGCTGACATTTTACCTGCAAATTGCTCATTTGGGATTATACACAGCAACATCCTTCCTACAGAAAAAGCTAGCCTCAAGGCTCAGTGAGGCTTACCTGGATAAACAAGTGTAATAATGTATTTTTTTTAAATCATAATCACTGTCATTGTAAAAATTACATTGCAGTGAACTGAGAAAATATTATTTATTACATATTATTTGCTAGTTTTGCCGAAAGGCATTTTTATATATATATGTTATGATTTGGTTTTGTGCCAGGTATTTTTTTAGACTATAGACAGTTTGACTTAGAAAACAAAATCTATGTTCTAGTAACTCAGATTCACTGAAAAATAGATTTTGTATTTCAGGGTACTGTCACTTAGCTAAAGAAGGTCAATTAATTGTTTAATTAACACCGTGTTATTGAGCCTCAATGTTGAACAGCCTTGTAGTGCACTGGAGTTCGACTGCCTACTTGCTCACTCCACTGGCTCTTCACTGACTCGCTCATTTACTCGTCTGACTAACTTCTTCCCTCCCTCCCTGCATTGCAGGAGGTGCTGAGGCTGGGCGAGGAGCCTGCACGGCCGCCGTGCTGCCACTGGCAGCTGGAGGAGCGGGTGTGCCACGTGCTCACAGAGACACCGGGCACATACGCCGTGCTGGGGGAGGCGCTCGGCCCGGCGGCCGTCAAGCGGCTGAGGCTGGCGGCGTTCGCGCCCAGCGTGTGCCCCTCCCTGGAGTACAGCCTGCGCCTCTACTGCCTCAACGATGACACCGAGTCCCTCGCGGTGAGAGCCGCTCCCTCCCGGGGATTACGCCAGCCACCAGCACTACTGCTCATCTTGTCTGTCTGTGTGTGTGTTCTATAGGGATGTAACTATTGACCCTCTACAGTGATTTGATGATTTGCCATTTCGAACAATTGTCGTTCTATTTAATAATCATTTATTTCTTTCACTCATGCTTACCATCCTGTTTGTATTATTTCTTTCGTCTCATTTACACAATTTTATTTGCTACATTAGCGAAACAAATACCCTGCAGAGGGGCTATATAATTTTCATGATTTGTAAATAATACATTTTATGTATATGTAATGAGCTGAGAAGAATAGTACTTGTCCATTGAACAGAGGTTGAGAGGTTTAGACGAGTGGAAGTTGGTTTTTCCTGAGCATAGAGCAGTGGTGGATAGTTGAGTGAGATGTGATCATAAAGTAGGCACAGGAAAGCCCATGAATATATTGAGGGCATTTGTGTAGTTGTTTTGCTTATATTGGAAGATTTCTATATATTTGAAAGTGCAAAGCTGCTTTAAAATTCTGTTTGTGTAAAATTTGAATAATTTCGTATAAATTGATTATTTTTTATTACTCATATAAATATACAAAATAATTGACAGTCATTGTTATGTTCATTGAAGTTATCAATCATGGATCAGCTCATGTCTGAACATTTTTAACACCTCAATTTGTCTTCGCAGTGTTAACTGCAAAGTTTGTGTCTTGTGAATGTATGTCGCTCAGCCACCCACGTGAAACTGTTTTTGCGATAGTCACAGTTTATCGGAAAATCAAAATGTAATTCTGCCCAGCTGGTCATTAGCAAAGCATCATTATTTTTCATCATGGTACTTACACACTGAGATGCCTTGACATGGCTGATTCAATTCTCTTTTTGCATGGTGATATCTCTACTGAGTGACTTAATTCATACATGCATTACTAGATTATTCAGTTTTGCTTTATGGTACAATTACAGCTCTACTATGGTTGAGGAAGCCGAGTATTTATATGTGGGGACATTGCAGTCTTTCGAAGCGTGCATTTCTTTATAATTTAATTTTCTTATTTCTGTTCAGATTATATTTCATACCACTCCAAATTGGTCCTTTAATGTATTTTTAATGATGTTAAAGCCCAGTTGTTTCAGTCACATCATTTGTCGTTGGCCACAAATATAAATGTGCATAATAAATGTCAAAGTTTTGCACGCATTGTAACGGATATCTTTTATTACAATGTCCTGATATCTAGTTTTGTGTAAAAGCTTTGACTTGGATCGCAAATTCTGCACATATTAAATTTGCCGACAAGCCCACTAGTTACTTGAGATTCAGTGTTTAATTTGCTTCCCAGGCTCGGCACAGCTTGTCCTGCTTTTATGTGAATCAAAAGCTATTCCCTGGGGCTGAGATAATATTATGAATAGGGAGGCAATAGTTATCAGTGCCAAGCTTGGCAATGTTATGTATGTGAGTGGGTGAATGTGTATGTTTACGTGTGCCTTTGCGCTCACATGCATGCGGATATGCACACATTTGTGCTGGCTCCTAACAGTTATGCAAGCATTACTAAATTCGAAAGGGAATAAAAAGCCACAGTGTGTATGGGATATGTATGGTGACGAGATGGTATCTACCTCGCCTGGTATACAGGAGGTTGTGGATTAAATCCCAACCCTGACGTGTGTTTATTTGGAGTTTGCATTTCTCTCTCCCCGTGGTCACGTGGATTTTTCTCCGGGTCCTCCGGTTTTTTGCTCAACATTTAGAATCAACATCACCACGCGTTAAGAGTATTTGGCTGCTGTAAATTTCCACGTGATAAGCCACTTTGTTTAACTATCATTTGTGTCCAGATCACTTCTGAAAAAGAGCTATATAGCTCAGTAAGCCTTACCTGATAAAATGAACATAAATATGTGGACATGTTTTCATAAGAGATGGCATGGCAATAAGCCTGCTCTTGTATAATCCCACTGACCCGACTTGAATTAGCCATGCAAATAACAAATGACAATGGTTATCTCAATGTGTGCTCGTTTGCACTTGGGTAGACTTGACGTAAATTTGGCATATCTTGCAGTTGTGCTTCGTCAGCACTCCAGACACAAAAGAGACTGGGTGTGGTGCTAACCCCATCACCCCCTCCATATGTCACGTTGCCCTTAGTGTGCTCTTACTAGAAGAGCCTGTCCCAATAGTATAGCCTATCCAGGCTGAAAATAATCTTTTATCTTTGTCCTTTTTGCTGTGTGTGGTGGGGGACATGCAGGAGGTCGTGGAGCTGGAGAAGCAGCTGGGAGGCCGTCTGCTGGAGGAACCCACGACCCTGAACTTCAAAGCCAACTCAGGCAACCTGCGACTCTCGATCCACACCATCCCAGACGTCCTCTGGACTAACAAGCTGCTCAACACGTTCCAGGTTCATTGAAGTAGCTCACATTGTTCTTTTGAATATGGCTTTGAAGGCCATATATGTGACTTTACCGAAATAACCAAAGAATATGAATTCCTGCAGTCACGAATGTTTTAAGTCAAAATCCAAAGGGGTATTCAATGATGCACAACATTCTGTACCTGCATGAGTACATTTCCAGCTTTTTATTTAATATTTATCATACTAAGCCTGAACACATTGGAGGAATGCACTTTTTATTTAAAGACAAATCTTATGAAAATGTGGCCAATGTTAACTAACCCATCATTGTTTTTTTCCAAAAACGACGTGGGTTAGTATGTCGATTTTTTGTGTGAAAAAAAACGTGAAACTTCCCACTTTATGTAACATCATTGCCTCGCTTGATGCAGCTAATCCGGCTGTGACGGTCCCACCTGATGACGGAGACTTGTGTTGCCTCCGAAACGTCGTGATTTTTGTTTTATTTTATTTATTTTTATTAATTTTGATGTTTTACCTACGTGACTTTACCGAAAAAACCTAAGAATATGAATCCTTGCAGTCACGAAAGCTTCAAATCTAGAAACATTTAGCATACTCCGCCTAATTACATGAGCAAGGAATTGCAGGGCTGCACTTTTACATTTTGCTTCTTGAGAAGTCGAGAATGCTCCATCTAGAAGAGACTGGCCACGGTCATGAGACAGGGGAATTTTGAACGCTGGCTCACGGCGCTTTGACCCTTTGTTTGTTGCACCGCCGCCGTGCAGGAGATCCCCTTCTGGCACGTGTGGCCGGGCTGCCAGCGGCTGCTGCATTGCACCTTCACCCTGGAGAGGGCCGGCCTGAGCAGCACCGAGTTCTCCTGCAAGCTCTGTGTGCAGCAGCTGGAGGGCGAGGGCCAGGTGCTGCAGCTGCGCACCACCCTGCTCAACGTGAGTCCACCGCGGCATGCCCTCTTGTGCAACTCTTTTCTCCAACTTAAAAAGCTGTGTCAGTTTGTCATTATGATGTTTTACTTCCACTGATAACTTGAGTCATTTCGAGTAAATACATATGTAAAAAAATATATACACATGTACATCTACGGCCCTTTTATTAAGCCACTGCAGGCTGAAAACCTCTAAACACCATGCATGTCATGGGGATTATTTGTGGCTCACAGAGTCTCTGATATATGTGCTTCCAGGTAATGCAGCTGATCTTGGAAAAAACAAATGGATTGGCTCAACCTAATTCCAAATAGTTGTGGAAGAAGAGCAACATTCTCTATTCTGCTTTAACGTGGTCAGAATTATTTGGTAAATGCAGGCCATTGGAGGATTTAAATCAATCTAGAACTCGTACACCAGGCCCTTAAGATGAATGGCTATTCGCACCGCATCATCCGCAAAACTGTTTCTCCAACCATGGAGAAACAACCCCCTGAGACGCCAATCAAAACCATCACGTTACCATACATAGCAGGCGTTACCAAAAAGATTGCCAAAATCTTAAACAAACACAAGATCCAGGTCCGATTCAGTACAGTACACAAAATCCGTGATCTAATCCCATCTGTGAAGGATGTCATTCCTGACATGCAATACCCGGGAGTCTACAAACTAAGTTGCTCCTGTGGTGATTGTTACATTGGGGAAACGAAACGGCATGTGTCGGACCGTGTTCGCGAGCACAAGGCAGATCTGAAACACGGCAGGACTAATACCTCCGCCGTGGCTGACCATTGCTATAACACTGTGGGCTCTCATGATATTGTTTTTTACGAGACCAAGGTGCTCTGCAAACCTTCTGGCTACTATCAAAGGTGTGTTCATGAAGCCATCCAGATATATAAACATAGACATAACTTCAACCGAGAAGATGGATACAAATTGAGCAATCATTGGAAGGATGTTATTAACCAGTTAAAACCTTAACCGCTTCACGGTTTGCCTTCATATCCACATCTCCAGTTTCTTCAGCCTCCCACTCCCAGACCCGCTCACTTCCCCTCCCCACTCCGGCATTTTGCCATGTGTTTATGTGTCTTAGCTTCAGCACTCCACTCCCCCTAGCCCACACCCCCACCCTCTCTATCTCTCCTCCCTGGCTCCTCCCCCCTTCGCTTACCTATTTAGCCTCTTGTTACAGCAGCCCTTTTGCCCACTTCAGCAATTGATTTCTTACTGTGGTTGTCCCACCTGATGACGGACGCTTGTGTTGCGCCCGAAACGTGGTGATTTAATTTATTTTATTTTATACCTACGTGACTTTACCGAAAGAACCAAAGAGTATGATTTAAATCAATGTTAATGTGCAATTTCTTTGAGGGACTGTTATCTTGGTGTAGTCTGGGACTATGTTGTTGTTTTTGCTGCCTTGCCCAATCTTGATAAATCGGACTTATATAATTAATGTTTTGTTTTTTCGTGATTTGCTTACTATTTTCTATATTTTAGACTCCTATAGATTCTTGTATTGGTTGCTGTTGTAACTTGCGGACCTGCCCGTACTGGACATATGTGAAAAATAGCTTCATAGCTTATCGGATTCCTCCAGTCTAAATACATATTCTCATTCTGTTAAACCAAATTGTTTCGGATGAGTGTACGTACTACCAGGCTACCCAGTCTAACCTTATCCAGAAACCCGTACATTTCTCAGGATTGTATTCTCCACTTCTCTTGTGTCTCATGTCTTAGAAGACTTCCACCTAGAAACACAACATTTGATATGAGGGGTTTAATATTAGACACAGTGGGTTGTAACCCCATCAACCTCTAGCGGCCAAAACCATGTTGTTATAATATCTTGTTGCTGTTGAAGAGAGGCGAGAATATTTACTTTAGATAAGCTATATTTTGGCAAATGGTTAGTATGTATCTGTTAAAAGCTGATCTTTGCCAGTGACGAAACAAGATATTGAATGCCTGTGGTGGGAAAACGCACACTAATGGTGTTTTTTTTCTCCAGGATTTGGAATCTGCTCTGTCTAGTAAACTGTGAGATGCATGTTTGTGCAATAAATCCAAATGATACAAGTTACTACTGGCAGCTATTATCAGAACGCCATTGAGGATTTAGGCAAAAACTGTGCCATCATGATAATTTTATGTTACTTAAAATAATCTCCATATTTTCAGCAATATCACACCATAGTGGCAAAATTATATTTAAAAAAGGTTTTGCTCGGGATGTTTGGTCATTTTATTTGTGAGTATTTTTTACAAGCGTGAGGAAAACAGAGTCTATAAAAACACCCATGCATGCGACAGGATAACGCGTACAATTTCCACAGACCGGTTGGCGACCTGTACTATATACTGTCTTTTACACACCACCTCATTTCCCTCTGAATTGGTTGAGGTTGTGGAGTCATTTGGAGGAAATCTGTCGGATGGAAAGGAAGAATGCGGAAGTTCTCGAGCAAATTCAGGAGTGAGGAGTCTCAGAAGAATCCAGGGAAAACAACGTATATGGAAGGGCACATTCTTAGAGGTGAATGTTTGATGGATGAAGTTGTGCAGAGATGTTGGGAAAGAAACCAAGAGGCAGAAAATGTTAAACGTGATTTAATGACTTGAAGGAATGGATCCATACGGTGAAATTAAAGAGGTCAATATCTTACAGAATGCAGGCAGTTTGAGTCACATAACTGCCGTTTGGCAGTGGACTAAAGAGAAGATTGTTAGGATTAGGCACATTGACTTCAGTAAAATCCATCAACCAGGTCTGCTGAGAGCTGGATTGTTGGCAAGTACCACCACACGCAGCACATTTAGTCAGTGGTTGCTGATTTTGTCTTGCAGGCTCCGAGTGCCACTGATGATTCCCCCACGGAGGCTGCCTCTGCTGGCTCGGCCCTCGTGGGTCCCCAGGCTTTCAAGCTGCCCTACTCCATCCGCCAGAAGCTGTGCAGCAGCCTGGACTCCCCCAACCCCCGTGGCAACGACTGGAGGCTCCTGGCGCACAGGCTGGGCATCAACAGGTACGGGTGGACAGACAGGAAATCTTATATGAGGTTATTAAGAATAGACTGGGCATCAACAGGTCGGGGTGAACAGAGACTTCTCTGTGGGGTTAATAATAATAGACTAGGCATACACTCCTATGAGTGGACATTGAGAGCTGTATAGCACGGTTGGCTACGTATGTGTACAAAAAAGTTAAATATACATAATGTTGGTTTAGGATATTATTGTTACGCTTCACGAACCATGGCCAACTGTTTGTGCAAAGAACATGTCATCTTATCAAAATATTTTCTCACGTGTCTGGAACGCCTCTAAATGGTCCATTCTTCTGTTCCCTTTGATGTTTTAGAACAATTTACATACCTGTGATATAAGGCTTACGGGTCTGTAATTCTTCAGGTCTCAATGTTTTAATAGAATGATTGCGCCATTCCAAAACGAAGGTGATTTATTCCTTTATCTGTTTCGTAAATAGGTTTTCTAAATTTGATCCAAAAGGTGGCCCTGCTTTTGTCATGATATCTACAGTTATTCCATCCGGTCCAGGAGTTACTCCTGTGAATTTCTTCAGGTGTGACATCTGCAGTGGCTGTTTCCACTTGCAATGGAAACAACTACTGGCAAGCAAGTGAACATTTTCCTTTTGACTGGAGGCAGGCTTTCTCGAATTTAACATTTTAACTTAAAGGTAAACAAAAATAGATGTATTACGTATTAAACACTGTTGCCATTTTATCTGCACCAGTTGACGTGGTGTTACTTTAGTTGTCTTGAGAATTCTGGAATTCTGTGAATTATAAAAAAAAACAGAACCCTTTTTACTGTATCCCATCGTGGGGACATTCGTTTTCGATTAAATATGTAAGTAAATTACCTGTTAGGCAAATTTTTAAGTCTACAAAAGTCTCTTTTCTTTATCTGGATAAATGTTTGGTTAAACACCTGCAGTGGAAACAGCCACTGTCAAACCAGTGAATGCTCATTTTGGCTTACATTAGTCAGCCTCGACGGGTTTGCTAAAATGCAAATACCCGAATGAATTTCCTGAGTAAACATACTTATCTGGTGAGGCACTTAGCCTTAATATGACATCCAGCATTAGCATGAAACACAATTATTTAGAAAGCTTTCTGGGAAACAAAATGCTGATAATGACTAATGCTTAATAATGAGTATGAAAGCATAGCATATATGCACAGCTTGTATGTCCGTGTGGTGGTGGTGTTAGCACCGTGCACTATGATCCTGGTAATCCAGGTTCAATTCCTGGCCAAGCGTATATGCCAATTAGCATTTGAACTCTACCCTGTGCCTCCTACAGGTTCACTCAGCATGAAATCAGCCTTGCTAAAGTGTGGCAATGCCAGCACTAGGGAGATACTGGGCACAGTGTTGGCACCACCACCGCCTCCACATGTTGGAGGTGGTGCTTGCTAACACTTTCAGTGGGGTAAATTGTGGGTGACCCACTAATGACCAAATTGGCTCGTAGCCCTCGCTTAAACAGACAGACCATTTGCCTACATTAATACAGTGATATGTTACTGTTTATTTTGCATTCCTTGACAAAAAGTATTGTTAGGCTGTTTAAATTATGTCAATTAATGTTATTTAAAACGAATATCTTTTTTAAACAATGAGAACAATCCAAGAATGTATATAATACAATGTTATATGTACAACCCTTCATCATAAAACATGTGCTTTTTGTTTCATTTCATTCAACCCCAATATTTCTTGCATTTAGAAAAATAAACATCAGGCCATGACTGCAACCTAATAGTTTGAGCAACTGATTGTTGACATACTATGAATTTGACTGAACCAATGGTAAAGCACATGGCGTCTTTTAACTCGTATCCAACTGGCAGTAATGCATGCACCGTGTTTGTCACTGTTCCTGTCGCATATCTGGGCTTTTCTGGGCTTAGGTTTAATGGGGAACATTTTATAGAGCTTTGAGTAATCATTACAATACATACTGTTAATGACCCCATGTCGATGTTTAAATGTTTCTGGGCCATCAGCACTTCAATTCAATTAGGCTCTGCGGTCCATTGATGAAAAAACGCACAAACTCACATGATTGTATCTGTCTGGTGATTGTAGAGGTCCTTTAATTATTACAATCGGCCATATGGACTGTGAAATCAGAGCTCACTCTGTGTGGTGCCTAATGGTGTTTGTTTAAGGTCTCGACAATATGTGCTGCTAATGGCATACGTCTGACGTGTTTTTAAATCGGAGCTTTTAAAAAGACATTTGTAAAGGAGTAAGTGGACCGCAGTCTGTTAACTCCCCTATGTGCGTAGACAAACGCATTTTAATTTTACTTTATGGATGTATCCACACACGTTATCAATACGACTGCTTAACAGGAACACACTGACCAATTATATTTGGTATATATTGAAGACAATACTGTAATTAAAACTCAGTACTGCATGCATACATTGTTAGAAAATCATATAAAATGTAAGTTTCAGACTAAATCCTGCATGAATTGTCACTAAAATACTGTAAATACGAAATGTGAACACAAAAACTATGATAAGTTGTACAGTTTCTTTTTTTCTTTAATGCCATGTTATTTTCTTGACGTAAAAATAATCTTTGCAACGTAGTATGTTGTGAAATTCAAGTTGGCATACTGATTTATTTATTATTTTGTTAAAGATTTAATTTCTGAAAAATGCAGGTGATGTGCATCGTACACCTGAAGTGAAAACAAAACTCAGAAATTCAATGTCTCTTTAATTTATGTTTAAGGCCCCAAACACATTTAACATAATTCAGCAACATATTAAAATGGAAGCCATGGAATTAATCTTCAAACATTTAATATTGAATTAAACTAAATCACATTGTGTAAAAAATCAGGGCTAATTTCTACCACCAAGGTAAAAAAAATTGTATTATACTTTTGTTGCTTTTACTATAATGAACAAGATGTGTGTGATACTGCATTGCCAGTGGTGTATAAGGACCAATAACAAAAACCAAATACTTGTGTCAATAGCACTGCTCTTCTGAGGAAATAAATTACAGGATACATTTTGGGCAATGGCCATTTTGCTGTGAAGAGCCATTGCCGGAAACATTGCTGTTGTATAATTTTATTGCATATTGGATCTAACTAATTGGCTGTCGGGTGGTGTCGGGTTTAACGACACCTTTATATTTACGCGATCTAACCCAAAAGAATTCTCTTATGGATGTTGGTCGTGAACGCCTACGTGTTAAGCTATATTGGATCCTCTCAAAATATTCCATATTTTATGATAATTACGATGGATCTAACTGAATCCAACTTATCAGGTAACCTGTTGTTTCATTTTTTATCTGTCACTCCAAACGGTGGGATGTTGAGATGCCCTCATATCTGACCTGTGCCCCTTGCAGTGCTAGCATGGAGTATTTCGAGACGAGAGGGAGCCCCACGGGTGTGGTGCTGGACCTGTGGGAGGCCCAGCACGAGGAGGATGGGGATCTGGACTCGCTGGCCAGCGTGCTGGAGGAGATGGGCCGCAAGGAGGCCCCACACCCTGCCCTGGCCCACGCCTGAGCTCAAGAATGGGCGTGATAGCATCCATAAGGACACTAATGGACAGACCAACACCCAATCCCAGTGGGATGGCTCTTAAGGTCCATGCCGTTATGCAGCGCAGCCGAGAGAAAGAAGTTGCCAAGAAATTCAAGATGACTGTGAGCAGTGCAAGATGACAGTGTCTCCAATTGTACTATATAAAAAAAAATGTCGGGTTAAAGCCCAAGTGTAACAAAGAAAATCCAACGGACCGAAAGCGAACATCGCCATTGCTACATTGTCCATTTTATAACACAAACAAAAGATTCCAACATATGTATTGTTACTGCTTTTTATCCTTTTCCGTTAGTACACGAGTACATGTTTACATATGTTGGCAAGAGACACAAACTCACACCTGTCATAACACTCACTGTATTTAATTTAAGTAGGTACACTTTGATTAAAATGTACAAAGCAAGACTTTAATAAATTACGCATTCTCTATATTTGGTTAGGGGTTTCTTATTGGTATTTGTATTTACTGTTATTTAGTTGATGTACAATTGTTACATGTATGTGTTGCTCATTCCTTGGATTTTTTTTATATTTAGAAATTGTATTGGATATTTATTTCTATAGTATACTGTATCTTTACCAAAAAAAATTTGTATTTCATATTTTATAAGGTCTTTGCTCTGCTTGGAAAGCAAGTGTGCATCTTTTGAGTGTGTGTCCACTGTAAAGCCTTAATTTTCTTAGCTGATGTGAGATCAAATGCGTAATCTAGTAAACTATGCAACCGCTGTCAATACTGCATTAATTGGTTCCAATTAAATGTACTCTTGCCTATTATATGTTTGAGTAGGTGTAATTTTACTGTATAATCTGGCACTCTAATTGTAATATGAAAGCGTTTTTACGGAATAAATTATATTTCCATTAAACACCTGTTGCGTTGATGTACTTAAATTATGTTTTTAAATATATTTAAAGATTTGAAAGCATTCTGTTTCTTGAATGTGGAATTTGAGTACACATATTAAAGCTTACATCTTAAAAATGACTACTCCTTGTATCAAAGAGTAATCTTTGAAAAATATGTTGGGAAATAGCCTAAAGACAAAAAAACCTCATACATTATATTGTAATGTAAGTCCCTTATTTGACAACCAGATACGTAGGTGTGGTTTGTATGTAAGGAGTCAGAATTCTCCCGACCCACCTGAAAGTCTGCTCTTCTGGCCAGACGAACCTCCGAGGCCCTCACCCCTGATGACCTTTATGTCCACCCAAATTGGCACTATCTGGCACCTACACACCCTCCCCTTTTAATAATGTTTTTTAATAACCACTCCCTCTCTCTTGTCCATGTCATCCTTAATGAAAGAGAGGTTGCTCCCTTATCCTATTTTATTTGAATCCGTTTTTTTTTCTTCTGAGCTTATGCACTGCGAATACCTCCCTATTTTACAGCATACCCAAGACCATTAACCTCCACCATTCGTTACGTTCATTGCTTGAACCCATGCTTTTGTGAGTTCATACTCCGACAACAAAGCCATGCAAAGACAAAGACTATCCGTATAGCCTTCACTGGACTGTTTGGGCAAGTACTGTTAGCGAGCACCTACGAAGGCTGGCATGGCACACAAGGGGGTGGGTGGCCAGCACCACGCCTGACCGCCTTTGTCTCCCCAGTGGCGATACAGCAGCTGGGTACTCATTTGAGGCCGAGTCGACCTAGGGGAGGCCCAGGACAGGTTCAGATATCCACTGGTGTTGGCTGTCAGCGGGAATTGAACTCGGATCGCCGGGTTCGTAATACAGCACGCTAACCACTGCACTACCGCCCCCCATTACCCATGCTTTTGTGGGTTAATACTCAAGACAACAAAGACTTGCAAAAAAGACAAAAAAACTAACATCCCCTCCCTCCCCCCCCCTTAGCCTTCAACAGGCTGTTGGGGCAAGTCCTGTTCGCCAGCAACCCATGAAGACCAACAGCATACGAGGGGGTAGGTGGCCAACCTCAAAACATCGCCAAACAAGGGGGGTGGGTGGGGGGTACATTCCTGGAAAATGTCGTGCACGACAAATAATAGACCCTCGTGGGAAAAATATGGGTTGGGGTTCTGGGTCCGAAATTATCAACCCCTCATTATTGTAATAAGGGATGCGGAGTCGCATACCTGTCAACCCCCATACGCTTTACTCCGTATTCGCGTACAGGGAAAATGAGTTTTCAGGTACATTCTGCGTACAGCCGTTTCAATAGGGCCACAACAAACTATGTTGTCTATTTGTTTGTGTTTCTCCCTTGTGATGGGACTTTGCCGGATGAACGGTGAGATGTATTCGGGCACGGGGTGACCAATAAGGTCTGAATTGCTCTGTTATAAGGTAGGGCGCTGATAAGGGGTTGACATGAATGTGTGTGTGTGTTACATGATCACGTTAACAAAAAAAATGCTCGCTTAATAAATTGTTCACAGCACTTGATACTTTCAGACTAATGCGGCATTTTCATCTCAACAACTATCTTCGTAACATCCTTAGCAGCGTCTAAGCGCGTCAAACTCCTTCCTTAAACCGCCTCCAGTCCGGGCAGAACATGCGTTGGGCAAGGTTTGCGCATAATATGCTGATGTGTATACACACCACGGGATACTCTGTTTTAGATTTAGCCAATTTAGGACGGCCCAGGATCGTTTGAGATACAATATTTGTCGCCAAATATGCACAAAGGAACCTCGTATAGCCTTTAACAGACTGTTGGACAAAATGCTGTTGTTAGCGAGCACCTATGAAGGCCGGCACGGCACACGAGGGGGGGGGGGGGTGGCCAACACCACGCCCGGCCACCTTTGTCTCCCCCGTGGCGATGTTTGCTACACATCGCACCAGTTACTCATTTGAGGCTGAGTCCACAAAGGGCACGCACACACAGAGACAGACATGAAAAATGCCCACTTATACATGTACACACACACACCCAACCAAACGTACAAACACAACGAAAAGGTGCACACAGCAAAGATACACCCCAAACGCACGACAGCCGCCACTCGCCATGAAGTGGCAGTGACATCAACACGGCGCTTGTGCCAGGCTAGCTGTACTTTGAGGCCGCGTGAAAACCGCGTGAAGTGTCGAAGGCTCTCTGCTTGGCAGGCGGTCACGGGGACAAGTGCCATGGGTTGACGACTGACTGAGATGACTGGCAGATGCACCACCACCTGTGCTCCCAACTGTTGCCAACTCGCAGAATTTTAGGTCCCCACCGGCAACTTTCTCCAACTGCCCAGAAGCATCCTTCACGAGCCCCGTTCATAGAGGCCGATCTCGACGACGAGTCTTCGGCAAGTCCACTCAGCTTCATGTCCACCTCTTCTAGAGCCCGTGCCGCGCCTGTTTAGCCCCCATCTATCCATTCAAACAGAAGTTGCATGGGCATGCGGTAGCTGGGCATGCCGCAGCCAACGCATCCTTGCCAGCCGGAGGAGCTCCACAAACAATCCATCCTGGTTAAATCCAGGATGGATAGATAAAAGGCAAGGTCAGCCTGAATGTTTCGAACCGACGAAGATGAGCCATTCGAAGAGTGCACGTTTCGCAAGCGTAACTGTGGCCAAGAAGTGACCCCCTTTTCACTCCAGCACACCCGCATCACCACCCGTGATTCTCGAAATAAAACTGCCGTAGGCAGAATGAAACCAAGTTTTAAGCACAGCAGGATAGGGGTAGAGTCCAACTGTTCAAATTCCCATAAGACGAATGATAACATCCATTTAGAAATAATGTGTGCTTAAAGCTGCACATTAAACGTAATTGAAAGATTGTGATATTATCCTGGACTAAATAATTAACTTATGGCTAAAAGTAAACTTTAATTATTTTCTGCTCTTAATGATACGGACTTCATTTTCGTCGTTAACTCCCATACAGCTGGCACTTTGTAAATATCCTTCGAAGGTTGATTTGATTAAACTATACTTACTTGTAACGTAATATATACATTAGCCTGATGGTGCGCTATACCAGGATATAATTAATCCGCGACAAAATTAATCATAAATTATATCAGTGCTCAGGGAAACCAATCGTCATCAATGGGTAGGCTAACAGCCAAAAATTCAACCAATGGGCTTTTTAGATCCACAAATCGGTGTAACTGGCATCACTGTACCCACAAACAATAATCGCCTCTACTTGATCATTGCTTGATGTCATTGCTAAATCACTGCTCAATCACATAGACACTTTTTAACAATGTCATATCTCCATCACTGCTCAATCACAAAATGTCATAACTCAATCACTGCTCTGCCACATAAACACACGTATTCAAAACGTCATGGCTCGATCAATGTTCGATCACATATATATATAAAGCCTCAGTAACCTCGAAGATTGCACATGAGTGGTGCACGTGTGGTTTGCACTTAATGAAATTCTGCCAAATCCAGAAAAACCGAGGGTTTTGCTGGTTGGCACTCAGGCGGAAAAAATGTGAGAGTATCAGGTGTGGCGGTTGAGGACTCCAGGAAGTCAGTTTTCTACTCATCCAAAGAGCCTCAGCACCATACTCGACGGGAATGTCGTTTGATCACCACATGGAAAATATAATCAGGTTCTGCAATTTTCATATGAGGGCTCTACAACACATTCAACCACTAGTGAGCAGTGACATAGCCAATATGGGTGGCATGCAGCATAGTATGGGAAATGCTAGATTATTGAAACCCACTGCTCTAAGGGATGTCTGCCAAAATCATTACCAATTTGCGACGCGTAGAAAATTCTCTGGCACGTGTCGTGACATGTACTGCAAGATCCAACCGTATCTGTTCAGTGGTCATCGAGCTGCATTGGCTTCCGGTTGCCGAATGGTTGCATTATAAGGTCGAACTCATTACACACAAAGTGCTTGCCACAAATGAACCACAATACCTTTCTGATCTTGTCAAGGAGCATAAACCATCACGGAAACTCTGGTCATCCTCGCAGCAGCGGCTTTTGATTGGCCATTGAACAAAGACGGTCACTGCATCACGCGCTTTCAGATGCACTTCTCTGGCCGTTTCGAACACTCTTCCTTCCGATATTAGAAAGCCATTGTAGCTATGCGCTTTTAAATATAGATTGAAAACTAATTTCTTTAGAACTACTCTTTTGTGTTTAGTTTGTGTTCCTTCCCCCACACCTCTGATTCGCACGGTTGGCTACGTAAAGTGCAAAAGATGGTCAACATAAATACATCTTGAAAATGTCTTCGCGTGATCACTGCTCAAACACTTAGACACAAGTATTCAAAATGTCATAGACCGTGAATACCAATTGTTGTGATTGGTGAGAGTTGGGTTGAGTCGTTTAGTTAGTGAATGACATGGTTGATAAAGTGTGCGGTTATCGATTGGTTTTAGTCTTTAGTTATTTTATTGTTGCTACTCCAAACTGGAGGTTGTCTCAGGGATGAAATTGTGGTTTTTCCTTGAAACAGGATGGATAGTAACCATTCACTGGTTTCCTCCTACATGCAAACAATTCGCGAAAGAATGAATACAATATCCCAACGGCTTTTCTTGATAAACCAGTATATTATCACAATCACATGTATCATATCAAGTGGAGTCCCTTGCTTGTTTGCTCTAAGTGAAATTGATAGTAATGTTTTCATGCAGCATGAGTCCAAATGAGTGAAACTTGATTTTTCTTAACCTTCTAAATCAAATGCACACAGCTACTCTAAGGAATACATCACAGAATCAAGGACACTTATCACCAGTTTTCACCCTGCTTAATGTGTGGCGATGTAAATAACAACTGGGATGGAACAATGGGGTCTGCAGTGCAATTCGAGGTAATTTCGGTCCCCACTCCATCCCCTGTGGATATTTTACTAGAATGTGTTGCGAATGCAGCCTGCTCACATCCACCATCATGC